CAATATTTTACTAAATAAATTAAAATACTCAGGGAGTACTCCAAAGAAAAAGGATAATCTCATGCACGACCATCCTGACATTAGCTAAACAAACTTACATTAAATCAGCTCAAGTGAAAGTACAACATTGGACACACTTAGCTACAGAGAGCTACCTCCTAATTCAGAGCTAGCTAATGGCTCGGTCAAGGACTAAAAATATAACAACTTCCTTAGATCCATAAAAAAAAATTTTTCACATTCTGTGACCGATTGGAACTTGTGGTGATGATATGGTTGCTCAGAGCTCGTGGGTGTTGCACATTCACAACCACTTTTAATCGCAGAGCGATTGCACAGATTGCCAGATAGGAAGCAACTTTTCTGCAAACAGCTGCAGCCTGACCTGGACTGACTGCAAAATATTGCTGTCTGATTTATAAATGCAGACAGATTGGCAACATGCTGCCATCAGTCTGAATGAGTCTTTGTCAGTAAACACAATTCGAGAGGACTTGAGTCAGCTGGCTGCTTGTGGGTCGGTTATATTTCTATAGAACAGGAAGGCTGCTGAATGCAAATGTAATGTGAATTTCTTTTAAAAATGAATTTGAGTCTATGCAGACTTCAACAGATACGTGATTTTAAAGGATTTATCACAGTTAATTGATGTATTATTAGTAATAGATTGCACTTCATTGCCAACTTGGTCCCTTTCAATCATAGACTATCTCACAATAATTATGGCTGGTTTTAGTGAGTATTGGTATTCTTGCCAATCTTATTGTGATAAAACAGACACTGACAAAGTTCAACTTTGAGGGCACAGTTTGCAAAACTAGATAAATATAATAATAATATTGTATCGTGTGAAGCATGGTGATGATATTGTATCATGTGGTATCTGGTGATTTTCACCTCTAATGGAATAAAAAACTGAACTGAAATTAACCAAATCAGAAACAAAACAGCTGCAGTTGTTGAAAACAGGAAGAAAGATCAAGTTAAATGCCAAGTTAGTCATACAGTCCAGCTGTACATACAGAAAGTAACTATTTGCTTCATTACCAACCTATAGCAGTGTTATATTTGCATCTCTGCGAGGCTACACTTATAAAGAGTGGTGCTTTGAGTTAAAGTGTAACTTTAGCAGGCAACAATAAAAACGATAACATGGCAATGATTTGCAGCTATAACTTTTACCTTGTTTGAAATCCTAGTTTAGTATGCCAACATACTCCAACATACTAAATACTGATTTTGTGGTGCTGAAGTCAGAGGATCGCAAAAGTCCCTGGGAGGGGTAACATGAAGTTTTTGTGTCAATAATTCATTAATTTGTTCTTTGGTCACTGTGGCCAAAGGTTGCTAAGCCAACTATCATGGCAATCCACACAACACAGCTACACATTTCACCATCTCTTCTATGGCAGAAAAGTCTGCGGCCTTATCAAAGAGTCTCGAAGAAGAATTGTGAAAACTGTTGCGCTGAAGTCGGTTAATGAAATGATCCTCTCGGCAGCACACAGACTAAGAGAATAATTAAATAAAAGCAAGCAAAAAGATAAAGCAAAGAGGACTGTTGGAGGGCAGAGTGGAGCAGTGAAAAGAATTTAGGTCAGACTGCCTCCGTCGGACACACTCCTCGACTTTTACCCAAACAAAACTGCAGTTAGTTTTCCCTCCGAGGACTGTAACTGCACTTGGGAGGATAAAGTAATTTTGCTTCTCTCTTTGATTGCATGGCAGGAACTGGTTATGCCGTGTGTGTTTTGGCAGCTTGGCGTGCCTCTCATTCAGCTTTAGCACTGTTTCCAAATCCCAGCAAAATACCCTGGCAGTGTGGCAGGCACCAAGTCAAAAGCCTTTTTATCTTTCATGTGCTATGATTACTGTAGTATGTAAACAGAGCAGAAGAACTCTCTGTTATGGGTTTATACACTCTGTGGGAGACATTAAAGCGTCTGATCCGCACTGACACACAGAAAGAGGGTCAAATTACTCTTAATTTGTATTCTTTTGAGATTTGAGGCATCTCGCGAAATACTTTTGCAAGGAGGTTAGGGTACGGGAAAATAACAAATTACCTGTCTCTCTAATTGGTGCATTTCATCAATCTGTTACTGACAACAGCAGGAGTTTATTTGAGCTTTAGCAGCTGCTTTTTAACAGAGCAGGACAGATGTCTCCTCTGCACGACCGCTTTGCTTTTAAACACCGTGTGCCCTGAAGAGATGACTAAATAGACAGTTGGCCTCCACGAAAGAGATAGAGATAAGGATAAAGAGTGAACATTGCTATCACATCTGAATGCCTTGGCATGTGTAGAGGCTCTCTGCAAAGGGAATTAACATTTCCTAAGTGCACACATGGAAATTAAAGGTTGGATACAGCCCAGCCCTCCATGGTCATGACAAGCAAGTGACTTTGAGTCATGCGTGCCTGTGAACTGTCTGTGGGGTGTGTGAAAGCTGAGCAGGACAGAGCTTAATCCTTCATCAAACCCTTTGGTCCCTTACAGTGTATCCTTTGCAATGACACCTGATATGTACTAAATGTCTTAACTAGGAAAACAATGCATAAACCTAACTGATGCCACGTATGAGGGTTAAAATGAGTCAAAAAGATGTTTATTACTATATTACTAATCACAAAGACAGGGACAGAGACTCCACATGTTTTGCAGTTGTATAGCAGCCTCAAGGTATAAATCAATAAAATAAACAAAACAAGATAAGTCAAATAAAATGACTAAGTGCTGAGAGCTGAATGACCTATGCACGACTGAGCTAAGTGACAAAGCACAAAATCCATAGTGCAAGCTTTAGTGTCACTGTCTGTCAACAGATGGTCTCAGTTACCCAGACAAAAGGCCCATATCATGTAGAGGGGTTTGCGGTGATGGCCACTGTCATTTCATTCCACCTGAAATCCACAGAGCGTCTCAGGACGGAGCTGGCTCTCCTTGTCAGTTTTTGCCTCTAATCCCGCGTGACGCACTGAAGGTGGCTAATACTCCCTGATTGAAAACGTGTCTTTACGTGCTCAGTGAAGTCTTACTAAACTGGTTTTTAAATGTAGCAGGCTTTGACATCTGAGCTATTTGATTTCTGACAGCACAGTTCGGTCCAGGAGACATATATATGTCGGCTCTGCAGTAAACTGTGATGGCTTTGCTGAAACTTGCCCTGTAAGCTTGCTACCTGGAAGACAATAAGGAACACATTTTGCCGTGGTGGCTTTATGAGCATACAGGTTTCCTAGAAGTTCTTAGAGAGGCTTTTTCTTAATATTTGTGAGCCCGTTTGCATTTTTCACTGACCTTTTGTTTGAGATACATGGACATGGGGAGAAACTGATTTGAGTAGACCACAAATAGAACACATTTGCCTAATTGTTGTGCAAAATGTGCACACTGCATGCACAATATACAGTGAAAACACATGCAAAATCCTTTTTTTCTTCTAGGATCGATGTCCTCTCAGGCCTCAAAAAAACAACGCCAGGTACAGGATGACATGTTGCTTGGTAGCAACTGATCTCACTGAATTAAACCACGGGCCTACAGGAGACACTTGTTTACTGTAATTGGTTACTGGTTATAGCCAGATGAAATGAGCTGAACTTGCCAACATGTTTCACACACTTTGAGCTCAACATGTTTCAGCTTTCAGTAGACTGCATTAAACTGACGGCTGTGCATGTTGTAATGCAACAGCATTCTACCCTTTTTAAGAGCAAATGCAGCCCTCTTGCATAAGCTCCTTACTGTATTGAGAGAAGTTGCTGGCAGATGCTCCTCAAATCAGAAGGTTCAACCCTTATTACCCAGCCCAAAGGAATTACTGCTGCCCTGGCACTGCTGAAGGCAAGGAAAAGACTGAGTGGAAGCCCTGGCATCTTTACAGTCAAAAACAAAGCAGTGCCAGGGAAACGATCCTATTGTTTCTAGAGCAGGCCCGCATTCATCAGGTATTTTGCATTTTGCATTCATCAGGTATTTTGATGTCCACACCGAGCAGCAAGAGGAGGTACCCGTTTACTGCCAGCTGTCAGTGTGATGTGGCACCACGGCGAGCTCAAACAATCCCACAGCATCACCTCATTTTTTTAAAACTGCAATCCGCTTCACACAACAGATCCTGGGTAGCAATCTTACCTGAAAGTAGAAAGACTTCTTCACCCAGGCCCGTGGAAAAAGACCCTTCGCCATCACAAAAATAGATCATCTCAAGACGTGGACCTGGCTGTGGGGGATCATCCAAAAACCCATGGGACAAAGCGTGTTCAGCATCAAACGACGAACACAGAAAAATTATTACAGGTTATCCGATTTTAAGCTCAGATTGTCGGTTTGTGTTGACGGCGTGAGTCGCTCTGACGGCACACTTTGCCTGCGCCTGGGCTCTCTTTGCAGTAGCTGCTGAATTCCAACCAAAGCAACATAGTTGAAGCTGGGGAAAAACGCAGGTTCAGAGCGCAGGCGCAAACTCTACCAATAAGATGTGTTTTTTTTTTAAGTTTACACGTGATCCACTAATTTGACCAAAACTGCTGTCCAAGCCCACTCACCGAAGCCAGATCCCCCCCGCAGATAACGGCGAGTCAATATTGTGTGTTTGCGAAACTCCGGAGGTACAAGCGGGTCAAGCCAGCAAGGAGGGGGAAGACAAACATCCGCTTCCTCCTTCAAAATAAAGGTTTTATTGTGGAGACGCTACACACAACTTCCGGCCAGGAGGTCTGATTAAAAATTACCTGTTAGCGTCATGTTACGTTGTAGCGCCATGAAGTGGTCGTACTTTGCACAAGTTTATCAAACATCGCGTCGTTAAACTTCTGATGTTTTTGAGTAAACATATTTTATATATAGAACGTCTCTCTTAGGCAGACATTAACGCATAACACCTCTAGAAAAACGTCGACTAAAATAATTTAAAAAATAAAAAATATGCATCTTTAAGGGGCGGATATGTTTTGCTTACTAAATGCCCTGCCTACAATTTCAAATGTTTGAAAAAATGTGAGCGTCGCGGCACAGACAGCCAGCCGCAGTCGTTTAAGCTCTTCCCATAATGCACTCCCCGATCATCAGCGGGAAACCAAAATGGCGAACTTGCTTGGGGAAAATGAACCGTTTGTTATTTTCTGAGGAAGCCACAAACCCCGCATGTTTTCCAGACACGCTTTAGAAGTGAATTCAGTTGCTCGAAGAGCGGGATAAGAGCGGCTCTTCTGTCCGGTTATTTTTGTCGTACGAGTCGTTTGTGGAAACGGAGGTGACCGAATGAGGTATTGTTGTCATGTTTTCTTCCCGTTAGGGGGGGTGTGGGTCCGACGGTCAGCGACCTGGCTGGGGTTACGGCTTTGCATGTGGATTATTCCCGCTGCTGAGCTCGCCCAGCTGCCTACTATTTAATATACAAGACATTATATCAGCGTGCAGCGGCATCCCAAGCTGTCTTTTTTCATATTTGCTAAGTGGCTGGCACTGAACATGTCCACTCATTATCCGAACAAAGGAAAGCCTGCATTGGAGGACAGGGTTTAAAGGCGAAGGAAAAAAATCAATACTTTCTTAACATCTGAAATTAATAACATTTACAATAGAAGCTAGAAATATGACATGTTTTATTGGTATGATCAAAGTATCAGCTGTCACTGAGACCTGTAGTTGAATGGAAGTGTTCAGTAGTAAGTACATTGGTCTTTATTTTTGAAAGGGTGGTTAGGTTTTTGTTTTTTGTCTTTCATTGCATTGAAGCCATGTTACTGACTATGTGGTTAATTTACAATTAGCACTAATTATGAGTATAATCACCTGTTGTTCAAAGCCAGTGGAGAGGAAATGCCATGTTTCACTCTTTCTTTTGTAATCCCTTCTGCAAGCACACAATGCATCCTTGTGTTTGAGGGCTACACATACAGGACTGTTACTCTGCTGGTTGTTATCAGTTAAAAAAATGCCAATAACATACATTAAATTGTACTAGTATTCTTTTGAGGATCAGAATACACCACATATAAATAATTACAATCTGTTTACAGTAAGCAGAAAAAAAAATCGCATAAATTAACTTTGCACTTATTCCATATCCGCTTACTCCATAGTCTAAATCCATGTCTGCCTCTGTTCTCTTGCCTTGCACTGTTTTTCAGAGACTCAGGGGTTGTGGATCACCTGTCTGTGCATCACAGAGCTCATCCCCCGCAGCAGCAGCGCCAGCAGCAGGCTGTGTCCTTGTCCCCCACAAGCCTTTCTGCCAGGGGAGAGTATGGAGAAGACAGCATGTCTGACAGATTTTCAGAGGGACAGGATGTCCTGGCCCGGTGGTCAGATGGCCTTTTCTACTTGGGAACAATTGCAAAGGTTAGTGTGAGGATGATGCATATGATGCATGCAGGTAAACGGACTGTGTGGAGAGCGTTGGCGGAAAAACTCTTGAAATCAGTATAGGTCATCTACAGCAAAATCTGCCCCTGTCGCATGTGGAAACAAGTAAATCTTTCTTTGTTTTGTTTTTCAGATAGATCGGGACAAGCACCGATGTTTTGTGGTTTTTGAGGATCGGTCAAAGTCTTGGGTTCTTTGGAAGGATATTCAAACAGGTGAATGAAATTTAAAATGTGCAATATATTTTAGTTTAATTGCTAGATAATATGCAGTAAAGATACTGTAAGCCATTGCAAAGAGGGTAGGGAGTCAGTTATCCACAATTTGTGCTGTGCAAACCTGTCTGCCTCTTCCTGGACTTGCTTATCTCTTGCTCTTCACACTGACAGTTAACTGTAGAGTGTATCAGTACAGTCGCAGCGCATTGCTAACATGCAGACGGGCAGCTATCGCTCCACTTAAGCCCCTTTAGCTATTATGGTGTTAAGAAAAACGTATTCTTCATTTTTATTCTTAAATGGGATGGGTCATGAATAAAGCATTAATGAAAGACACCAAGACGCTATGATCAGACACATTCGTCACATTTGACTGTAAACGATTTGTGAGAAGTATCTGGTTAAGATTTTTCTTGGCATTGTGACATTTATCAGATAATTTTTATTTATTTATTTTTAACCTCAACCTGATCGCGATAGTTGAATTGTGATATATTAAAAAGTATGACAAAGATTCACCACATGAGATGCAATCAAAATCTTATTATAAATTCTATTCCAGTGTGAGTGTGATAAAGCGATATGAGGCAACTGTTGCTGCGATTTGGCGCTACAGGGAAAAAAAAATTGGTTTGAATAGAAATCCACTTTCCAGGTCCACAAGTAGTTATTACAAACATCCCACACCCTCGAATATCCTCAGGAGGATGAAGGCAGCAAACTGTCCGCAATCAGGATGAAAACTGCTTTGTTCCTGCTGAATCAAAAGTTAAGTTGGAATCTTCTCTCTAGTATCCTGGTGTAGACCTTCAGGGACATGGAAGCGCGATTTCGCCCACACCCCCCATAACCAGACAGTTTGGATTTTATTTATCCAGGTTGTAAAATATTTTCCCTGCCACCTTTCTCTAGTTTCAGCTGGGTGAATTTGAGTCGTCCTTCTCACAGCAGCAAAAGTTGCTGTGAGAGGGATGTCTTTTGTTCTTGTGATGACTCTGTGTACTCCTCTGACCTCGTTTGACTGAAAGCTGCTCTAAATTATACCCCTAGTCATACCACCATTAATCTGAAACTTTAGTCGCTTACCTTCATGACTTTGCTGCTGTTTAGGGGAAGAAGATGATGAGGATGACGACGACGAAGACATTGTGTGCTCCATATGCCAAGACGAGACTTCAGAGGAACCCAACGAGATTGTCATTTGTGACAAGTGTGGACAAGGTATCATTTATCGTCTTTGATGTTCCAACATAAGCCAGAAACAGTTATTTTATATGATATTTGTAACACATTTAAACAGCCAGTCTCAGTAGTTTATTTATTCATCTGTTGTGCTCTAATCTCTGGCCATTACGGATGTGATCATTTGTGTTTTAGGCTACCACCAGCGGTGTCACTCCCCTGTCATCGATGCTGCTGTCATCGACTCTGATGACAAGTGGCTTTGCTCAGAGTGTGAGCTCACTTCTCTCGCTAAGGTACAGATTTTTCTTTAAGAAGAAATACGTCAAACATTTACCTTGAACAAGTGGTTTAGACGAGTTTGTTAACATGACACATGTCTGTTTTGGAGAGTGCATTACTTGCTTTGTTTGTAAATCAAAGTGGATATAAAAGACTTCATAGATTCCAATGGAGTGAATAAAAGTGATTGAGGCTTTAATCCCACAATAAAATGTCCCAAGATTAAGAAACCCAATTAAGTGAATGAGGCTAAACTATTCTGAGGTCATTTATTTATTGAAAAATCCCCAAATATTTATGGAGAAATTAAAAATTTTCCAAAGAGCTTACCAGCTTTAAAAAGCACCTCTTTATATGTGTTTACCAAATTTTATTTTTTTTCTTTTTATGTATTTATTTTGGTGGGAAAAACATGTTTTTTGTTTGTTTGGTTTGCAGACGGGTGGTCCACACAGAAGAGGGGCGTCTGCTAAAGATTTTCTGCAGCAGGAACAGCAGCAGCCGCAGCACATGGAGCTACACCTGTCCTTCCCATACGTGCTGGAGGAGCTGGTGTGGGACCACGGCCACAAAACCAACATCCAGCAGTGCTACTGCTACTGCGGCGGTCCAGGAGAGTGAGTGACGTTGCATATTCTGGCAAGAGTGAAAAGCTTGGATGGAAATGTTCCCATGTCCACGAAAGTTATAATGTTCATATTCTGTTTGCTTGCAGCTGGTACCTGAAGATGCTGCAGTGCAACATGTGTCAGCAATGGTTCCACGAAGCCTGTCTCCATTGCTTACAGATGCCAATGCTCTACGGAGATAGGTGACCATATTTACTGCTTCTAATGTAAATGTTTACCCTCGACAGTGGATCTTGACTGTATTGTTGTACGTATTCAAGTCTGCTCCCCAATGGCCTGCAAAAGTGTGGCTTTGGAGACCAAGGGCAGCCTATTAAAACTGGTCTTGAAATGATGGTGAATATACTTCTGGGTAATATTCAGTTTTTAAGTCAAGTTTTGGAAAAAGTGCGTGCACACAAACAGAATGGTAAAAAGAAACGTGTCTCAGTGGACAGTCAGCTAGAGCATAGCTAGGTTTTTATGTTAAACTTTATATTGTGTTCTTGTTGCCTGAGGCCTTTTTATTTTTGCCTTCAGGTTTTATGTGTTTGTTTGTTCGGTTTGCAATGGTGGACCGGAGTACCTCAGCCGTCTGCCTCTCAGCTGGTAAGAGGAACTTGTACTCTGACACACACAGCTGGCTTTTTATTCTATTAAATTACACAAGCATGCATTTACTCTTCTTCTTAAAAGCTCTGCTATCTTTGTCGCCCAGGGCTAGAGAGCTGTGATAAACTTTTACTCCACCTCTGTAATTAAATCTTGTGGCTCCAGCAAACATATTTGGTGTCTTTATATTAGTATTATTTGTATTTTTTTTTTAAGACAGACTGAAAAACAGTATTTACTGAAATATTTCAGGAAGGATGTCGCGCACCTGAGCCTCTACAACCTGAGTGTGATCCACAAGAAGAAGTACTTTGACTCAGAAATGGACCTGATGGTGTACATCAATGATAACTGGGAGCTGCTGCAGCTGGGTGAGGTAAGGATAAGTTATGTAATGCACCAGTGACCAATTGTAGACCAACAGATTTTTTTCTTCTTTTATTCATATTTCATTTCATGTCCCATCCATGTTTACTTGTTAGATTTGGAACAGGATGTCAGGAATTGGCAGCCACACAAGTCAGTGTTTTTTGTTTTTGTTTTGTTTGTTTGTTTTTTTGTTTTTTGTTTTTTTTGTAGCTGCTTAATGCATCAGGTTGATTGGTGGTCTGAAAGCCACACTGTTAGGTAATCCTAGTAGAGGGTTATTTCCCAAATAGAAATAACCTGGCTCCCATTTGGATTTTTAAATATTTAAGTTTTTTCTTGTACAATATCTTTCCTGTGTCTACAGCTCGCCAACACTCCACGATCAGAACGATATGAAAATGTTCTGGAGGCGCTTAACAATAATAGCTGCATGTAAGTTTATCTGCTGCTCTTGAAATCTTTATGCTGATGACAACATCAAAGCGCCTCAAATATCTCCCAGTATTTGCACAGACTCCATGTTTTTTACATGGCCACCCTTTCACCGTGTCCCAGGTTCATGTCAGGAAAGGAGGTGAAGAAAAAGAAGCACTTGTTTGGCCTGAGGATCCGTTTTCCTCCTGTTCCCCCCAACTGTGACGAGCCAACCAGCAGAGTGATGGAGAAGGCTTCACATGAGATAACCATCAAGGGATGCAAGTCCACTAAAGCACTGTCCGCCATCAGGTTAGACATGAAACGTGTCGATGCCCTAAAGTTAAAGGTGCCCACTGGATACTGTGTTAACCCGATCCTGTATAGAACTCATTAATGCTAGGTCCATGTTTGGAGATCTAAAGAGAGATTCAGAATAAAAACAAAAAGTTGGCATCTGCTTATTGTTAGTACTTATAACGATTATGCTTGTCTGGTGGGAGGAGCTTAGCGCACGTAATGTAGAGTAGTGGTGGGGGACTAAGCCTGAAAGTTGTATCACCATTTTTTCAAGGAAGTTTGGGATAAAGATATTTATGACGCTATGGGGCCCAAAAAATACTGAACTGTGATTGCACCTTGCCGGGTGCAGCTTCGATGATCTTTTTCCTGTGAAGTGCTGACATTGGTGACATGCTAAGCTAATTTTGAAGTGTGAATCTGTTGCCCTAAGGTGGTAGCAGCAGCAGCAGTATTATAGTGCAATAGAAGTGACACATAAGTCAAATGCAGGCACTAAAGTTACCTAGGTAGTTTTTTTTCCCTTTTTTTCTCAGTGAAAATGTTTATTTAACACTTTATTTACTGTTAAAGTGTTAACTACACCTTGTAACAGGAGCTATACAGTACCTGTTTCATAAAGCCCTACTTTCCCACCATGTCACCATGAAGCCCGTAGACTGTCTATAAAAGATGGACCTAGCCGTTGTGACATCCCCCCCCTCATTGGTTTTTGAAATAGCATTTTGAAGCCTTGTGTTTGGTGCTCCTTGCCACGTTGTGTTTTTTCAAAACAAGACTCAGAGAAGCTGACCGAAAAGTTGAGAACACTCATACTGTACTTACTTTTAATTTACTTGGTCGCTGAGCGCTGCTTTATGTTTGATTTGACTCAAAATGGGATCATTGTTCATGTCATATCTCATGTTGCATTCTTGACTAGTAGACTTGAAACTGGTGACTGAAATATAAACCTGTTGGGAAATCGTTAGTCAAGTCATAAATAAAATGAGATGTAGAGTCATGGACTTTTCATATAGTGTGACATCTTTTGCAGTGACAGGAGTCTCCCCCTGCTGGCCAGAAAGAATGGCCAGGTTCACATTGGCTTCACTTTTCACCACTTTACCTTGAAGCCTCTCCATCTTTTATATACAACCTAAAAAAAAGAGAGATGATTATTTGCCAATAAACTCCTGTTATTTGTTTTTCTATAGTTCATCATTACATGCAGACAGCACGGTGGCACGGTGGTTAGCACTGTTGCCGCACAGCAAGAAGGTCCTGAGTTCAATTCCAACACCAGCCCGGGGTCTTTCTGTGTGGAGTTTGCATGTTCTCCCCGTGTTTGCGTGCGTACTCCGGCTTCCTCCCAACCGTCCAAAGACATGCAACTTGTGGGGATAGGTTAATTGGATAATCCAAATTGCCACTAGGTGTGAATGTGCGAATGAATGTGAGTGCAAATGGTTGTTTGTCTCAGTGTGTTGGCCCTGCGACAAACTGGCGACCTGTCCAGGGTGTACCCTGCCTCTCGCCCTATGACAGCTGGGATAGGCTCCAGTGCCCCCCGCGACCCTGAAAAGGATAAGCGGAAGCGAATGGATGGATGGATGGATCATTACATGCACAATTTAGAAATTGCTGGTGTTAGACTGGTGAAGTTAAGGACCAAAAAAACTTTTTTTTAGCTGTGCCCCTTTACCTTGTTAATTTAATTTAAGAGTGGGATTTTTTATGTATTACAAGAGCATTTTGTTTGTTTGTTTTACTCTAAAACAAAAACAATGCCCCTTGTGATCTACAGATGAGGAAAGAATTTTAGCCCCCCTATAAAAAGCCATTTTTGTGAACTATTTTCCAACTACTGTTAAACAGAGTGAGGAAGTTATAACATAGATTTTCCAAATTATGAAATGATTCTTCTTTGCACATGAAACAAGACTATTTCACCAAAATTAGCAGGATTGATATTAGCCTCCCTGTTGCTAATATTCAGTTATCCTTCTTTTGCTTGGTAACAGCATGCAGTAGTTTTTGTTGTAGTTTTCAACAAGTCTCGCACACAACTCCTGAGCAATCCCAGCCCAATCTTAAATCTCTTAAGCGCCTCCAGATTTGATTGTCTTCTCAAATGGATGTTGGTCTTTAGTTCACCCCGCAGATTTTCAGTGGGATTCAAGTCGGAGCTTTGTACAGGCCAGTCAGTAAAGCTCATTTTGGTCTTGTGGAGGTCGTTCTTTACCAAGAGCAACATATGTCGTGGGTCGTTGTCATGTTGGAAGACGAAGCAAAGAGCCAGTTTTTGCTGCTGACTGCTTGAGGATTTCTTTCAAAATCTTCACATCTTCCTTCCTTACTTATTCCTTTGACCTTGATGTGAAACCCAGATCCAGACACTGAAAAATCCCCACGACATAAAACTTCCACCCCCACGTTTCACTGTGGGGACAGTGTTCTTAGGGTTCTGTGCCTCTCCCTTCTCTCCAAAAGCAGCATCTCTGTAGTCAAAGAGCTCTAGTTTAATCTAATATGATCAAAGGATGCAACTTTCTCCAACTTGTCCCTAATTTTTTTTTAATTTATTTATTTTTTTTACCTGAAATCATTTGCTTATTAATTTCTAAAGAAAATATGTTTAGAAATATGTTTGAAAAGTTCTTGCTCTGTTTAAAAAATAAATAAATAAATAAAGACAAAGTTTTCCAAATTTCATAGGGTGGCTAAGAATTTTCTCCTATCTATAGATGAATTTCCCTTTTTTAAGATGATTTTCAAGGGTGTCCTAACAGTTTACATAACACATGAACTGCCTAACAGTTTCACTGTTATTTCAGGCACAACTGCCTTTATATGTAAAACTGTTCTGAATGTTGTTGCTCTAGAAGTCCCAGTGCTCTTACCAATGGCACAGAGAAGAAGAAGAAAAAGAAGAAAAGAAAGAGGAAGCAAGGAGCACGCTCTCTGGAGACTCTGGCTAAACCACAACGCTCCAGTGAGCCCTCGTCCCAGGTGTGTCTGTGTGTTTGCATGTGTGTGTCCTAGTGGGCGTGAGCTGGGGTGTGTGCATGGAGGGATGGGTATTTTTGCATTGTTATTTTGTATAGGTGTTAGACATTTACTGTTGGTGTTATATGAGAAGAAACCGTCTTTTTGTTGTTGTTTTTTCCTTTGCTTTGACAGGAAATCAGGAAACCGCCACCGTTAGAGCCCCATGCTTTGGATCACTTTACATCTGTCAAGTAAGTAGGCAATTATAAACTGTAGTTCTAAAGCAATCAGAACTGTTCAGCTTTGTTAGGGTGAAGATTCGGGCAAAAGCAAATTGAATTATCAATCACAAACACAATGTGTTTATTCTTTGATTTGCTTGATTCACTGTAACATAACAAGAACTATAATGTTTTAATCTTTTACCTTCCCCCAAACCACCAGGAGTGACAGGTCTCTGCTGTCTTTAAAAACTTCAGATGTGGAATCCATCGGCGCCCTGAGCACTTCAGAAACTACCTCAACTAGCATTTCAAGACAGTCCAGGTATGCCTGCCTGATGTTTGCTCTGCACTGAAAGTAGAATTGTGCTGGGTACAAATTCAGACTTGCATGGCTGTAGACCTTTTCCTAATTTTCTGTAGTCTGTTTTTTATTGTTGCTCTTTGAATTAACAGCATTTTTTTTTTTACTTCCTCTTTTTCCTATCAAACACCCTCCAGCCTCTGCAGCTCCAGCAAGACGCGTACAGCAGCCCCTATCATGCCTGTTTCCCCTCCACCTTTAAAACGGAAACGTGGACGGCCACGGAGGGTCCCCCAGCCCCCCACCCCAGACATCCCCCCTCCCAGCTACGCAGACCCACACCCCTCAGCCACAGAGTTGTTGAGTTCCCTCCCAGGGCTTCACTCTGCAGACATAATTCACGGCATGGACCCCAACAGCCAGCTCACCCACCTAAAGAGCTCCATCAGCAACTATTTTGGAGCAGCGGGACGTCTGGCCTGCGGGGAGAAGTACAAAGTCCTGGCCCGACGGGTCACCCTTGATGGCAAGGTGCAGTACTTGGTGGAGTGGGAAGGAGTCACTGCCTCATAGGTTTTTTCACATGTCGCTCGTCACTTCTAACTTTTCACCAGCACCCGTGGGACGTTTATGTCTGTGCTGAGGACGTGTGTATTCAGAGCATTAACTGATTATATGCCTTTATTTAGTTTGGACAGGAGCAAGTTCTGCTTACTGTAAAGCCTACTGGTTCAGTCCAGTCCAGGGTGACTTTTACAGTTATACACACCGTATATGTGTTTAAACAGTTTCATGGACAGCACAAAGTTGTCACAATAGCACAGCGTTTTTGTGCTGCTGTGATTCCAACTTCAACTAACAGGTTTGAGTGTTTACAGAGAACAGCCCCTTTATTCAGATGCAATTCATTCATCTGTATACTGCACCTGTAGGCTTTCAGTGACCTGTTATTGTGCTTAATCCAGTGATATGCTTTCATTTCAAGACACGTTAATAATAACTGTAACGTTGTATTTTTTTTTTTTTCTTCAAATAATATCTTTAAGTGTTATCTTGGAGGATAAGAGAAAGATGGGGAAGTTTTATTAACTAATGCTTTTTTTTTTTTTTCCCTTCCCCCCACCCTACCACCACCACCAAATGAGGTAAATAATAATCTGCACCCACAGTCGTGCCCCGTCTCTCTCTAGTCCCAGCTACGAGTACCTCTCAGTGCCTTTGGCAGGCATGTTGTTCAGCTCTGTGTTGGAAAGTGTGCTCGTTTGTGAGCGGTTAAGGAGAAACTCGAAGCAAAAGAGATGTGCTGCTGCAAATGTTTGTTTTATATAGAAGTATACTACATTGATTATTACCCTTTCTACTTGTTCTGTCTCTTGACTTTTCTGTTCAGCGGGGCAGTTTTTTGTTATTTTAATCATGGATTCACTTCACACATCAAGTTGATGGAATATCCGTTAGGTCGCCAGCTCATTTTCAGTAACAGTTGGATCATTTCAGCTTATACAAGGCAGTATTTGTCATGGATGGTAACGTTCTCAATTTTTAAAAATGTATTTGTCTACTCCTAATAGTTTAAATTCAAGTGTGGGATTCTTATAATTAATCTCTAAAATTCACAAGCCCATATATAAGGGCATTCTTGGTAAATTGTGTCACTTTGTTTTTGTCTACATAAATCTCCTTTTTAAAGTGTTTTGATTTGAATTAAAGAACCTAACTTGTTTTTTGTTTTTTTTAATTTTGTCTGATAGTAAAATAAAATCCTGCATAAAATGAATGTTATATACCCACCAGGAGTTCAGAATTGTTCCCTATTCATGTTAGTCCTTGTTAAAGCTGTTTGCGTATTTAACTGGACCGCATGACTCAACAGAAGGAAAGTTCATCGTTATGATCATTTGACTCAGGCTCTCAGTTTTGTGTGCGTCCGTGCGTGTGCGTGTGTGTACAACAAAAAACATTGCACTTGGGTTTTTTTGTTTTTGCTTTCATGTCAAGTTCACCTTGTGGTCTACACACTCAGGATATGCCCCAAAAATGTCACTGCAATGCATATGTCTGTTCGCTGTGTGGCAGGAGGTGTAAGTTGTTCTCATAGTGTTGCTCATCAGTATTTTTTATATATATATATATATATATATATATAATATATACTATATATATATATTAGTATATATATCATATATATAATATATATATATATATATATATATATACTATATATATATATATATATATTACTATATATAAAAATTATTTTTTTTTTTTTTTTTTTTTTTTTAAGACGACCCTCCATGTGTCATTACTTTTGACCATATTTCCATATGTAAGTTTTTGATAAGTCTTATTTGTGGTCTGTTGCAAAACCTACTTGTTTTAAACTGGGTCATAACACAATCACTGGAATATAAAATGCTGTATATCATTGCAATAGGTGAGTATTCAGTTGGTATCTCTTTTTGGAGATGTTTCTGCTTTTGTTAAAACACACAGACACTGACATGTCTTCTTTGTAGGGGTATAGTCAGTGTATTTCAAGCTACTCTCTACTCAGTCAGTGTCTCAGCCGACATGTTGCTACCACTGGCTTCCAGCAGGCTTCTGTAGCCAAAGAACATACATGTAATGTCTGCTTTGTCTTTTGAGATTTTTCTTATTACATTTTTATACATCATTATATAGGTTGATGTGATTTTTGAAAACCTGTTTTGTTAAAGGATTAATAAAGTCAGATATTTTCAACTGTCCTGTTTCTCATGTCTAACTGCCACGTGTGCACTCACGGTAGGACCACGAGTGTCTAAAAAGGTATTTATAAAATATACAGCGAGAGGGAGATCACGTGCAGTGTCCTCTTGTCTGCTTTATTTCTGGGAGCTAGCTCCACTTTGAGGTTCGCCTGTGGTAACTAGGGCTGAGTATCGCCACTGATTTCTATAATCGATTCAAATTTGACTCAGAAAGATTTTGAATCTGATAATTTAACAGTACAACACTTGTGAGACTTCATCAGAGGTGTAAGCATCACAGCAGACGCATTTGTGTCAAAGTGAGGATAAAACAGAAAAACAAGACTGTTTCAGCTGTTTGGTGGTTGTTGAAATATCTTTGTGAGCTATAACCTGAGATTCTGGTGCTTCTGGGAAAATACATTTATATTTAAAAGTCAATTCAGGATTTAATTAATCATCGTGTTATTCAAGCTAAAATAGATTTGAATCACATTTTTTTTAACCCACCCCTACATTTAATACAGTTTTTAATAGGCACATTTGAGAACACCACATTTGAATACAAAATCAAAAGTACAAAATACAGGCAAAAAGCAAGAGGAAAACGATCCACAGGTCAACAGGCAGGGACATAACAGTATGAGACAACAGCTGAGGTCTGATTCTCATACCTGCATTAATTTACTCAATGTTGAATTTATGGGGGGCAGATCAGCAAACGTTTATTTTTCCCTTTATAACAACTGTGCACAAGATGATTTCTTTAGGTGACTCATCATTTAAAATTCTTCAGTGCTTACAGTTATGCAGAGTCAGGCATGGAAAGGCTGCTCTTTGTGACAGGTGGGTACTGACATTCATGGGTGCAGCTGCTTGCTGTCCTCCAGGCTTTACCTCAGCTAAACCTGTGTCTCTGAACTGGACCTGTCAGTGTTTGTGGTCTCATAAGATCTCCTGTGATATTTAGTTTGCATACTTGGATTATTCAGGCTGCACCCACCTGTAAAAGGTGGAAGCTCACCAGGACATTCAGAAGTAACAAATTCCTGGCTCGACTGTTTTGTCGAAGGGTTTCTCTTTCACCAATTCTTTTTGTGTTAGCAATAGACTCTCTAGGCATAGCTGTGAGAGCAAATACAGGAATATCAGGTACCAGAAATAGAGGAAGAGACCATCTAATTTCTTTATTTGCAGATGATATTATATATTTTGACTAATCTGAAAGATAGTATCCCTATTTGAGTAGCATTAATAAAAAAAAATTGGAGAATTTTCAGGATACAAAATTAACAATTCTAAATCAGAATTAATGTTTCTTAATGAGAAAGAAAGAAGGCGGTCTGTTATTGCCACCCCATTTAAAACAACTACAACAGGCTTTAAATATGTAGGCATTATGATTACCCCAAGCCTCAAGGACATAACTTCAATCATTTATGATCCCCTTGTAAGAAGAAACGCTAAACTGTTGGATAAACCTGCCTGTATCTATGATAGGCCAGATAAATATCCTAAAAATGACAATTTTACCAACATTTTATATTATTTCCAAACACTTCCGTTGCCTCTACCAACTTCTTTTTTTTTTTTTTACATTTTAAACAAACTATTTAACCAATTTATTTGGAATAATAGGAAGGCAAGGCTCTGCTTAAAACTACTTTACTTGCCCTATGAAAGAGGAGGTCTCCAAGTCCCCAACCTCAGATGGTATTATATGGCCGGCCAACTAACATCAGCCACCCATTATTTTTGCCCACCTCCAGCCTGGGTTGACATTGAGCAAAAATCTGTTCCAGATCTTCCGTTAAACACTTTTCTATATTCTTCAGACACTAAGACATTAAAAAGAGTACAAAGAACCATTTCTTGAATAGTACAACTATAATTTGGCATGCAGCACATAAACATGTGGGCGATCCTCCATCACTTTCGCAATTCACCCCTATTTGGGGAAATGAAAAGTTTACGCCTCGTAAAAATGATGGAGGATTTAAAATATGGAAAAATAAAGGTATTCAAAAAAGTTAAAGACCTATATGCAGACAGCATGTTGCTAAGTTATGTGAAAAACATTTAATACCCCCAAAGCACTTTTTAAAATATTTACAACTGAAAAATAATTTGTCATCAAAACTGCAAAAGATTGCTGAATTCCACCATTAACAAAAATAGAGGAGGTATGTGTTAAGAATACAAAGGGAAAAGGTTTTCTCTCTATATATTATAATTTATTGATGCTTCCCTCCAAAGACTCAGCAGCAGATAAGCTGGATGCTTGGAGAAGGGAGATCCAAGAGGACATGGATGAAAATGACTGCAACCAACAATAACCTATATAACACCTGCCAAGCTTTATCATATGTCCAATGATATTCCAGACATCTGTATTAAATGTTTATGGGAATGTCCTAAAATCCAGGAATTTTGGAAAGATGTTATCAAATGTCTGTCTGAAGTGTTTAAGGTGAAAATCCCTTTAAAAGGTAAACTCTGTGTACTTGGAATATACCGAAGGGAATTTAAGCAACCGGAAAAACAAACTAAATTACTGGACTATGGACCACTTCAAGCCAGAAGAGCCATTGCACTATGTTGGAAGAGTATGGATGCTCCCTCCACGGGACTCTGGAAGAAGGAAATTGCAGACTCTCTAGGCCTGGAAAAACTAACATATATTGCCAAGGGCAAACAATGGGACTTTGTGAATATGTGGAAGCCATATATGGATATTTTAGGGAGTGGAGGTGAAGGACCTTTATGAGGAAGAAGGAAAAGAAGAAGGAAAGGAGAGAAAGGGGAGAATCTTGTTTATCTTAATTCCTTGTATTTTTGTATTACTGTGAGAACTATGCTCATTTCTACATTTGATTATAATGTAGGCAGGTTTTATGTATGGATGGGTGTGTGAATGTGAGGGTGTTCAAACATTTGTTTGTATTGTAGAACAGAAAATTTCAATTAAAAAAAAAATATATATAAAAAGTTCCTGTCTCGACTGTTTTGTAGAAGGGTTTCTCCGAGAAGGGGAGGGCAGTGAGGCATAGTCCCCTGTCCTCAGTGCAACCCGCGATGGAAACCCGCTGCACAGGAGCCGTGAGAGCCAGGAACTTGTGAGTTGTGTATGTCCCATCAGGCAACATTCATACCTGCTCTGTTGGCAGTTCCTGTGAGAAGGAGAGGCCACAGTGGAGCTGCCAAGGGGCAAGCCGCAATCAGCTTTTGGCAGTGACTTTTATATAACCTTTATTTATGCAGTTAAAAAAAAATCTCATTAACATTAAAAATGTATTTTGTAAGAGTAAGCTCGCCAAGAGGACAGCACAAATGGCAACAAATATTACAATGGTTCTGTAAAAATATTTTAAGTGGGGATAAAGGATTGGTTATAATGTAAGTACAATACACAGAATTGTAAAGATACAACTATATTCAACTA